GCTCCCGCGACATGCTGTACCCACTCTCACGCACAGAGAAAATAAAATCTGATAAACGACAATGGATGTCCCGGCCTCGGCATAAGAAGAACAAACTAAAAACATGTTAAGTTCCATTAATGAAGATCCAACCTGAGGCAAGCATGAGAGAGAGAGAGGCAAGGGTTGCTAATAAGCCTCAGACTGGCCCAGTGCCCACCCTTCCCCTATGGCCTTGACTACTAACCCATTTAGGGACTCTCTCATGGCCTCTGGGTTGCAGTACCCACCACCCACCTCCCACCTCCAGGCTCTTAATACTCTCTGTCGTAATTGCCATTTACTTCTCTACCTGGAGCATGAGAAATCCAAACTCCTTGAGGGCCTGGAGGGACTGAATTCGAGCCATCTGGTCCCTGGCACATGTGCAGCAACCTACCAACGTGTACCACCCAAATGTCCTTACTACAGTGGCCCTTCCGTGGCCAGGGCCTTGCATTACACCATCTGCTTAGTGCTCTAGCAATTAACCACCTCTAGGCTCTCTCGTTTCCAAACACTAGAAGGTAAGTTTGCTGGCATACTTTTGCCACAGGTCAGGCAATTACTGTTAGAGAATTTTCTGCCTGGGTCCTGAGGTTAAGAGGGGAGGAAGCACACGGTGAGAGCCATCCAGGGTGGAATAAGAAAGACGATGAGGTTAAGACTGACACTCAACATGGCAGCGTGATTCGATGCGTCTGTGAGATCCAGAAGCGGCCTGGCAAGGAGCATGGACTAGAGAATCTTACTTTAATAAAACCACCTGAGCGGGCTGCTTGGCCTCGACGCACCTCAGTTTCAATATCTGTAAGCTAAAAGCACCTGCAAGATCAACCTTCCAGCTCTGAAAGGTTCCTCTGGGGGTTCAGGAGGCTGTTGAGAATAGTCCCACAACAGCATCTTCTAGGCAAACATCAAGTAGCTGTGTAGTGATGAGATGGTTAATAAATATTTCTGGACTCTATAATGCCCAGTAAGTGAATGTTTACTCTATGAAATAAAAATAAACTAGTTGTTCCATGAAATTGTCAGAAATGATCACCACCACCATCCCGCCCCACCCGACCCCCCAAAATTAAACACTTTTACTCTTTTTCAATAGACCATGCACTACACAGGAAGATGCCTTGTACAAGTTTCCAAGTATTATTTAAAATACATAGAACTAAAAGGTCAAGGACTCAAAAATATTAACAGAAAATAATTGAAAAAGAGAAAGGAAGTAGGGCCAGGGCTTGACAAGAAGTTGGAACTTCTGAGTGCCTGCCACAAAGAAGTCATGTCTGCACAATCTACATTTATAATTGGATATTTGCAGCTTATATGGGTTTCCTTTCATAGCTGGCAGGAGGCTTGTTTGATACAGCAAAGAGCCCAACACAATAGCAAAACAACTCGCAAGGTAAAAATCAAGTGACAGAGGATGGATTGTTGTGGTTTCTGTTCTTGCATAATAGCACTTATAGATTAATCTATTAAAAAAAAAATAACCAGGTGCATTATCCAAATGTTCAGTTACTGGGGACACTCACAGTTGTCTATCCGTGGCAATTTTCATTTCTGTTTTTTACACAAATCATCACTTGCAAGCACTGATGTTAAAAACAGAAAAACAGTCTAGTACACAGTGGCTATAAATGCCAAATCAATTTTCAGCAGATAATAAAGTCCATGTTTTACAATCAGCAATGCACTGTTTTACTACCCAAAAATGTAAGCTAATAATATATAGCTCTACTAAATGGAAAATGCAGATATGTTGTTAAAAAAACGGGCCGGCTGTGAGAGGATGGATCATTTCTGCAGGGACCTTCTTAAAGCTATGTGTAAGTGTTTTGAAAATATCACATGATGTGGCCATGTGTTAAAAATTACAGCCAGTTAAGTTCTCTGCTAAGAAAAATATGTGGGCAATTTATGAAATGCACTCCAGGATGGAGATGTCTTAAGTAAAACCAGATTTTGAAAACAAACCTTTTTTTTTTTTTTTTGGAAACTTGAACTTAAAAAAAAAAAAAGAAAAAGTTCCAGGCACATCTGGAGAGCAGGACCATTGAGAAAGGGTGGTCTGACCTAATACTAGCCATCTTCTGAAAGAACAGCACTATTTCTGGGCTCCAATGACTCTGCTCACTTATTGTCCTTTTAAGGAAACAGTCCTGAAAGCATTTTGTAGGTCAACATATGTTCTTTGATAATATCATACAAAGACTGATAAACATATAAGTGTTTCAGAAAGCCTGGAGTCCTCTCCTCCCCAAACAATATAATGCCCAGGCTTCTCCCAGCCATCCCGCCAGAAAACATTTCCCTTTTCTTAAACACAAGGATCTAGTTGTTACAAAGTGACAGGCAGTGAAACGATATTTCCTTATATTAAGTTAAATCGGAAAAATAGTTTAACCTATTTCTCTACAGCGTGCGTGGTCTCCTTTGACTTTTTATGGCTCATTTTGCAACCGTGTGCTATCAACAGCTAATGTGTGTGGCATTTTTCTTCTTAACCAAAATAGTTCTAGAAACCCCCAAACTAAGACCTTTTTTTTTTTTTTTTTTTTTTACCTACTCACCCCACAGATTGGTATGTCTTTGAATAGGTTCAGTCTGTGCACATCTGTTTCCAGGGATCCCCCCCCCATTTTTATATGAAAAAGGCCCTAGACATGTGAATTGTTCCATCAAGTTGGAGACAACCAGGAACCAAGTCTGACAGCTGACCTACCGAATAACAACAACCACCACAACCACGACCACCACGACAACAGTAGTATCCAATGTTGATATGTAAGTAGGGGGTCAAAGGAAAAAAAAACAAACAAAAAAACAAAAACAAAAAACAACAAAAAACAAAGAACAGTGACAATATCAGATTACCCGAAACACATCCTTTTAAATCGACTTACACATAATGTCTTAGTTAAACACATAGAATCTGTCCCAGATGGTTAAAATTGTCCATTAATGTAAGTGCATATGTACGGACCAAAATATGCTAAAAAAACAGAGTGAGAGGCAGTCCACCCGAGAGGAGAGTTTAAAAAGTGCAGATGGGTGTCCAAAATAGCCAAGTGTCAGATCTGCTCAAGTATCGCCATTCTGGCACATGCTCGCAGCCACAGCTGTTAATATATTCTCTGCATCCAAGTACAAGGTTTTCTAACACAGTTGATGAGAGAGCGAGCGAGAGACACGGCCACACTCGAGCCTACTGCTTTCGAACCAGACAGACGTTAACAACTTAACGCCGAAACAAACTTCTCAAGGACCCTGAGACGTATATAGTAGAGCGCGGCGTGTCCTCAGTAAGGCTGCTGGGAGGCGGCCCCACAGTCACGCAAGGAAGCAGTTAGGGGCAGCGAGGGTCCTAACTGACCTCGCTCAGTATCACCACCCACAAAGGGCTTTGGGCTGTTTTTGGGGGGAGGGGGGTCGAACCAAAACAAAACAGACACTCCCTCGAAATGCTAACAAATCGGACCCTTCCACTGACATTTAGTAAGAGCACAAAAACCAAGAAGATTCGAGGTATGATGTGCCAAAAAAAAAAAGAATCAGATGTAACTGTGCTACTATATTCTGGAGAAATTAAAACACACACACACACGAGCACGTTTTCACCCCGATTCCCGATCACATACCCAGTGCACATTCCCCCCGTTAGCCGTGCGGGGCGTATAAATCAAGAGGAGGGCTCAAAGAGTTAAAATGACCTTTCAAAGACCCCAGTCATTGTCTTGCTGTAAATTGATTTTCCCCATATTTCAGCCACATACATTCCCTGTTCGCCGGACTGGTGGAAAAAGCGCACTTCGGGCACAAACGCATCCTCTGCGTGCACGCAGGCCAATACCGGGGGGGTGGGGGGGGTGGGGGGGGGCTGCTGCAAGGCACCTCCTGACCGGGAAAACATTCCTCCAACAACTGGCAATACCTACACACGACAGTGGCTGCAGAAAACTGGCAGATACTGTTTCAAAACACCATCTGGGAGGTGTACAAACTCTGCGACCGAGCACAGCCTCCCGTGCCCGTCCTACCCGAATAAGCCACACAGATCAGCCAGCTGGACCATCTCTATCTGCCTGGCGTGGGTTTTCTGGGGTTTTTTTCCCCCCTTTTCTCCCCCCCCCCCCCCCCCCCCCCAGTATCTGGAGCGAGGCTGCTCACAGGAGGCACAGGGCAATCCAGACAGTTCGGAGAACAGCAGAGCTGCCCTTCCTCCAGCAGCTTCTCCCGGCCTCCCTCTCCCCGGCACAGACACCTCCTTGGCCGGCAGCCGCCTCGGACGTCCCCAGCCCCCGAAGAGGACACGTTACAGAGCAAACAGACCCCACACGGGCAGGAGTCCAGGAGACCCTTTCTCTTGCTCATTAAGCCATTTCAATGGTTCCCCCCCCCCCGCCGCCCCCGATGACATCGGAGGACTGCTGATTTAGGGCCAGCCTGAGATCAGCTGTGGTTCCAAAGCCTCCTTCACTTTCCGTAACACAAACAGCTTTCTTAAAAAGAGACCTCGTCCCTAGCATCCTGCCCTAATCTGCAAAACTCTCTCCGCGCAGATGTAACCTCCGGGACACCAGGGGCGGACAGATGACGGTCCCGAGAGCCGTGACAAACAATACTTCTCAGTTGAGCGCAACCCCTCCGAGTACACTGCCCTGGCAAACTGCGGGGCTGCCCTTTGCCCTCCGCCTCTAAAACACCCCCCACACCCCCATCCTCAACCCCCGAATCCTAAGAGCAAAGTCTCTGCACCCTGGACCCCTGGCCTCTGGGTCCTGATGGCTCTCTTTAGGCCACCTTCACTCTCACCTTGATCACCCCTCTGCCCCCCCCCGCCTCCCCGTGCAAAACACAGTCCAGCGTGGGCACAAGGTGTTTTCTGTGCATCATAAAAAGTAAGCTCTCTTCATTTCAAACCCAGAGAGAGAGAGAGAGAGAGAGAGAGAGAGAGAGAGAGAGGAGCAGGGCTAACTCACCAGGCATCCTTGAATCCGGCGTCCACCCGGAAAGGGACTCTCTCCTAAAATCCAGCGCGATCGGGGCTCATGCCTCCTGTTCTGGAATGAGCGGCGGCAGAGAGAGGAGGGCCGTCAGAAGGGGCTGGGGCGGCATAGCCCGAGGCAGGGTGCTGGGCGCGTGCGCCTGCCAGGCAGAGACAGATGGAGAGCTGACACTCCGGATTGCACTTGGAGCAGAAATGTGGATGATGACAGGAGCACATGTGGCCTTGAACCCAGCCCTGTCTCCTCAGGCAGAACAATGACAGGGATGTGTGTGCAAAGTCTCGCAACCCTCACCTCCCCTTACCCACTCTACCTCTCTGGGCAAGTTCCAGAGCACCAAAGAACAGAAACCAAAACGCAGAATGATAAGCTAAATGCTGAATAATTCATTCCTCGCCACCCCCATCCCGTTACAAGTTAACCCTTGTTCTGCCAGCAGAACGGAAAGTACGCTGCTGGCCCCCTACCACCGCTCACAATGAAGCGCTTCCTTTCCATCTTCTCCTGTTAACAGCCATAATTGGAAACTCTATTTAAAAAAAAAAAAAAAAAAAAGGAAGAAAAGAAAAGAGGGAAAAAGAAAAAAAAAAAACAACTGAGGCACAAACCTCAAAGCTTGTTTATTGAACTGGAAATCCAAAAAACAGCGTCAAGACATTTTTTTTTTGAGACTTTTGTATTTTGTGCCAGTTTATCCTACTGAACAAAGTATCTGCAACACTCCCTTTGTCAGCTTCTCAGTAGTATGTGTAAAATGGAACACTTTGGAGAAGCAGAAGCAGACCACTTTTATTTTTACCAGAGTGCTTTTAACCCCCTGGGATCCCTGCGTTGATACGCTCCAAACATTTTCAGCTTACTCTCCTCTACCTTGCATAGAGATCCATGGGAGATGAAAACAAAAATCTTCACTGCAAAGCCTTTTCAAAAGCTGAACAATCACATCCTCCTGATTTCTGAATTTTTTTTTTTTTTGCACACCCTTAAATGTTTATCCTTCCCATGAATAACACATACCCAGCCAGGTTCAATGGACTCTTCCCCATAAGCCTTAATGGACACCATGATATATAAAACTACAGGCCTTTGTTACAGTGCTTTATCTAAAGCTGGCTATTTTCCTCGCAGCGGTCTCTCTTTAGTTCTTTGTAAAACATCCTTGCCTCATAGGAGAAACAGACGCCTGCCTGCCTGCCTGCCTGCCTGCCCGCCTGCCTTGCATGCCTTTTCCAAACGCACAAAATGCCAGGCAGAAGGAAAATACCGCTCGCTCCTAAAACTCTTCTCCTCCAGTTTAACACATGTGCATCTTCCCTTAGGTCTGTGTGTATTTGTTTTAACAACAGGGCACGCGACCAGACAGTCTGCGCAGGCTCTCTACCTTCCCGACGACGCGTGGTCAAGCCACTGCAAACACAGAAACAATCCCACTCAGGAGCCTGGGCCCAGCCCGCAGGCTCAACGCAGATGACAGGCAGGAGCATCCCCTTTAACTCTTGCCATCCCTACGCGGTCTTCAAGGCGTCCCTGGCCTAGTCTCCCTTTTCCATATGCCTTGGGCCCTTGGCAGATGGATTTTTCTTCTTTTTTCTTCACCCCCCCCTCCACTTGCTGCCTCAAAGACATCTCAGAAATCCATCTGAAAAACAGAGGCGGTGAAGATGGTGACTACCTACCTACTCATCCTTCCTACACCTCTCCCCAAAGAGCACACGCAACCTGCTTCAGAAGACGCCCCCAGGCAGGCACACACCCCACGCGAGCTAAAAATAAATCCTCTCTGGCCAACAGCGTCAATCAATAAGAACGTCTACAGCCCCTAAATACTGCACACCCAAGGAGCACGGCTTCATCTAGCGAACCCCTCAAAAATCCATCACTGTCAGAGGCAACTTGTAAAAAGACTACAATTCATAATGATTACTCTGTTCTGTCACTAATAGTATACTGCACCCTATTTATGAGGCCAATCTTTTTGTTCATCTTAGTTAGATGTCACTTGTAATGAGGTTCTGTGTAATGGATTTCAGTACAGTTAAGCACCAAGCTCAAACATTCTTATGACAGAAAGCTTTATAGCAGGCCTGAGTGTGATAATCAATTAAGTCCTGCTATAAGGGCCTTTATGGAATCCAGCATCCTGGTCTGTGGATGTTCATTTTCAAAGAGAGTTTTTTTTTTTTTTCCTAAAGCCACTCACTGCTCCATGTCGCTGATTTTTTTTAATACTCTACCTACGCTGGAAAGAAAACATTTTCACAGTGGGAGACCCAACTTTCATCAATATGCACGGTGAATCACTTCTGAGATAGAAAATCATACAACAAAATGCGATACACTTTCAGAAAACTGGATGATACCCAGGTTTAAGACCGGGTCTTCCTACCGGTACACCGCAAGTCCCCGCGCCACCACTCACAACACTGAACTTCCAAATATGCTGTGTGATTATGTATCTTTTGCTATATGTTAAAAAAAAAAAAAAAAGCTTTTTAAGCTGTGTTCTCTGACTACAGTAATTGCCACTTTAAATTGATCCACACCAACAAAACCCAGATCCCTGGAGGTTCTCACCTAGAAGTCTGACTGCAGGAAGGGCCTAACTGAAACGTGTGTGCATCTGAGATGAGTCCAGCATTTTCTCAAGGAGCCAGTCCCCTCCTCTTATGCTTTAATCCATGGAGGCAAGCAAAGCAGCAGCCCCATTTGGCAGTTCTCCCCGAACAGGGAGACCTGGATACGTGGCTTTATACAGTTACTTAGACAGGAATAACTTTCCCTTTAATAAAAGTGGGAAAAGAAAAAGAAAAAAAAAAAGCGAGCGAGCGTAAGGAGCCAAGATCTCTAACCTCCAAACTGTATAATAAAAATAGACAATCAATAACATGATGAATGCATTTATGTAGCTGGAAGGGGCTGGGGGGAGAAGAACACGAACTGAATATGTACTGCAGAAATGTTCTCCAGTACAAAAACACTGTCCTGCATCACCATCAGGAAACAGACTTTTATTTTTTTTTTAATTTTTATTTATTTATGATAGTCACACACACAGAGATAGAGAGAGAGAGAGGCAGAGACATAGGCAGAGGGAGAAGCAGGCTCCATGCACCGGGAGCCCGATGTGGGATTCGATCCCGGGTCTCCAGGATCGCGCCCTGGGCCAAAGGCAGGCGCCAAACCGCTGCGCCACCCAGGGATCCCAGGAAACAGACTTTTAAAACTTAAAAAATAGGGGTGTGCTTGGCTGGCTCAGCTGGAGAGCATATGACTCTGGATCTCCGGGTCGTGAGTTCGAGCACCATGTTGGTTGGGTACAGAGATCACTAAACAGTAAACTTAGAAAATGCTCAAAATATGTTCAAAACAATAGCAAAAACTACAGCGCTGTCCACTTAAGTACTTCCAACAGGAGAGCCGTGTCAGTGAATGAATGCATGCCCGTCTTAATGAAATCGAGAACACAGAGCATTTCTAAGGCGATTTTTTTTTTCCCGAATCATCTAAATCATCGCTCTCTGAATTAGTAAATTAAGTCAACAGCCTGATGCCAGGCTCCCCCTGAAATACATGAACTGGTTTTGGACAAGAAAGTCAGATGGTTCGCTAGAAAGGCATTACGGTACTGCAGCCCTCTCAGGTATTTTTCATGTATTCCCAAAACAGACCAGCCCCGTCCTACAGATTCTTCCTTTGTTCGAGCCTGACTTACCAATAGGGATTATCAGTCTACTGCAATCGTCTGCAGTTAATGAAAGCTCTCTACACTGGTGAAGGGCGAATGCCAGTTAAAGCTTTGCCACAGGTCCTCTCAACTTTCCTCTGGGCTTCGAGCAGGCTGTTGTGATACATTGTGACTTCACACAGTGGGTATTAAGTGAGTTAATTCAAAGGAGCTGAAACCTCATTGATCCTAATTGAAAGCAATACACCCAACCAAATACTTTCCTACCCCATCTGCTCTGGCCTGCCACCAGCTATTCAATACAAGAGAATTAATAGTTTCAGATATTCTAACCGACCCAATAAAGGCACTCATTTAAGCAGGGCTGCATTAACAAAGTGAAAAAACAAGGGTAAAATGGGTTCAAATGGAGCATTTTACTCCTAGTTGGCTTTAACAAAGCTGAATAAGGCTTATTCTGACTTTTTATGTGCAAGACTTGATAAACTGAATGAGAAGGCACTCAATGATCAGCCAACGAGCATTGATGAATGGTCATTAAGACCCCCTGCTCTTAGGGGAGACCCTTCCACAAAGTGGCACACCAGCTTGAAAGGGCGGACTCACTAATGTCCAGATTTCTCCGCTTGCTTGTTCCACTTTCAATTTCAGACCACTGGCCACCAAATGAGGCTGACATATTGGAAAATAATGTTTTATGGGCGAGTGGTAAAAAATAAAATGGAGGCATTAGCTCTGCTTTCAAATTCAAATCTGCTAGTTTTGTCAGACCCCAAAGGTCTTGATTTTCCACCCAGCTGGAAGCTATTAGTGTTTTCTAAAGGCATCCCACTGACAGGGCAAAGCTACCTAATGTGTGAGCTGTTGGGCTAAGGGAGATGGACCTCTCTTTTGGATGATTTCCTAACTTCTCATCACTTTGACAGTCAATTAAATAGATACAACACCCAATAAAAATGTACGTGAATTTGTTTCTGCCACTGAAAGACATGCGAAACTGTATTAAGGAAAAGCCATAGTAGATCGTCTTCTGACAAAGATAAATCCAATGGTACTCTCGTCTGCCAGAGAAACAACTGGTTTATGTGGTAGTTAGGCTACAACAGAAGATACAGTCAACGACAAAGAAATGAATGGAAGAGGGGAAAAAAATAAGTTAAAAAGTTAGCTGAAGTATTCCATAAAGGTAAGGGCCTGTCACTGTGACGCCTATTTATATAAAGGTGTGTGTGTCAACAGCCAGCTACATTCATGCAGTGTCCTTCTGGGGACACGACTGGCAAGTATTTGCACCTCAACTCCCAGCCAGCCCATAGAAGAGCTCGCAAGAATCTGAGGGGTGTACAAACATCATGGGGTCAAAGGGTTATTTAGGACTGTCCAAGAGGACCTAAGTGCTGGCAGTAGGATGGAATCAGGCCAAAAACAAATAAACAAACAAACAAAAAAAAGCATGCCAGGTAAGGGCACCTGGTCTTCATAGGTGATTATAACAGACATCACAGAAGCAGAAAAGCTTCACTGCCTGGGATCGTTTGCAAGTAGACGACAAAGGGCCACACAACCCAGTGTCCCATAGAGAACACACTGCGTGGTCTATGGAGAGCTCCTCATCTACCGGGGCAAGTGACAGGTGGAGGACTAGAAGTCATGACCCCTTCCCTTCACCTAGACAGGTCA